TATCATAGTAGACAAAGGAAAATATTAAGGTAAGATTGTGTGAATGTCACAGAAGAATTGGAACACTACTATTAATTTAGCCTGACTGGCTTGACCAATTGTTATTGGTTGCAGTCGTCTCCAGTAAGAATTGGTCAAGCCAGTCAGGCTAAATTAATAGTAGTGTTCCAATTCTTCTGTGACATTCACACAATCTTACCTTAATATTTTCTTCCACACGCATTCAAGACATGATCGTGACAAGTATATCACAGTAGACAAAGAAAATATTAAGGTAAGATTGTGTGAATGTCACAGAAGAATTGGAACACTACTATTAATTTAGCCTGACTGGCTTGACCAATTCTTACTGGAGACGACTGCAACCAATAACAATTACGATCTAACATATGATTACGGAAGCCTGATGCACTACGGAACAACAAGGTAGGATTTGCATGGAGAGATAGTCTCAGCATCAAGGCAATATATGATTCTTAGCGCCTCTCGCAACGAAAAACCTACTATGGTACCTACTCCGGATGCACGGTACGGAGAAACTCTGGGATCTCCTTTCATTTCCTTCTATGATTTGCTTATGCTCAACAAGTACTACAATTGCACCGGTGAGTGATACATTCAGTTGATAAGCACCCAAGCTTATAAGTGATAGTATTCCAGACGCATGCAAAGGAACGAAGACGGTGTGTCAGAATGAAGGATTCCCACATCCTCGCCGTTGTTCAGAATGCATTTGCCCAAGCGGGTATGGTGGAAAGCTCTGTGAGAAAAAGGTAGAGGTCCTACTCCTACGAGCCGAGTTCTTGAAAGGCTGATGGAAACTCCATTTAGCCGGACGATTGTGGTAGAGAAGTGGAGGCGACGGACACATGGAGTAAACTTGTAGACAGTGTAGGCGAAAACACCACTTTCACTGCGCGTGAAGACTTCAAGAAATGCAATTACTGGATCAGGGTATTTGTTCTTAGGAAAAGCCTGTCTTCACTAAGCTCGAGAATAGCATCTTTAGGCGAAACCTGGAAAAAAGATCGAAGTCAAACTTGCTTACTTCCCTGCTTCACTAGCCGTCGATGGATGCAAGTATGCCGGCGTTGAAATCAAAACAGATCCAGACAAGCGTCGCACCGGTTACAGGTATGCTACTGTAGTACGATCAAAAACCATTGAACATGGAATCATTGAAAAATCACCAGTAATGACTGCTTACTATCTCTTTAGGTTCTGTTCGAAGGGCGCTATTGGCACCATACTGAAATCGTCTTCTAACATTGTCCCTGTAATAACCTACAACAGACTTTACTTCACCGAAACGGAACTGGAATACCGCGCCGTCGATTGAATATCTGCGGACTCTTAAATAAAACATTTGCCTACGTCCATTTCAGCACTGAACGCATCAGAAAAGTAGTTTTATAAAATATCGCACTCCATTCTCACGCTTGTCATGAAATACTCCCAAATACTCAGAAAAGAAAGATCTGCTTCCGCCAAAGGGCAAGTGTTCGGTTTTCGTAATGTTTCTTGCCAACAAAGCCTGGGGAATTCGTCTTGCAATTCGACATGTTTACCCCATCACTTGTGGCATGCAGCGTGGGCAAGCCTTCCGTAGGAGAGGTCTAGATGAAAAGGGTACTAGTGGGAGCAAATGAATGATGTTGATGCTTTGCACCTTTTTGCTTTCCTTCTAAAGGGTGACTTTTACCAACTTTTCCCTTCAGGAAGGCTTTTACGTTCAGATTCAGATCATCACAGTGCACCCATCAATAGCTGTATATTTGGAGAGGCTTTAGTTTCGAGAAGAAAATCTGCTTTTCTGCTTGCATATTTCAACAAGGGGCCCCTATCCCCGATGATCGATTTGTTGAATGACACGACAAAATTATTATTCTCTCTTTCTCTTTACTTTTCGAACAATTTGAGGAAGCACAGTCGCTATTCCTGCAATAAGCGGAGCGCCAAGCTTTACCCTCAACTCAGCAATCTTGTGATATGATACGCTAATACATGCACAACTGCTCGAACAATACTGACTGATACACAGATGATCCAGTTTGAATTCTCATTGGACTTCCTGTTGAGACACTGCAAAAAACTCACCGTATTGCCCTTGCATCTGAAGTCCAAGCGTGAACGTAGTGCAGTAGGTGGCCAGAAACATGATAAATATCAAGCCGGTATAATACTGTTCTGAATTATGGCTTTAAAGAGTAAAAATGTGAGACGAGCCACCGTGCTTTTTTGCTATTCTTTGACAAGGAAGTGATCGAGCTAACAAATTAGCAGATTGGACAGTGGAGCAACATTCTGGCGACATCCAAGCTGTAATTTATTCTGACCAAAGAGGTTGGTAGGTAGAAGACTTTGTAGAAATTGACCTGACTTCGAGGGATCGTCATCCTTAAAAGCCTAAAGCTGAAGGCTTAGACGTTGCACCCTTTACACCTGCGCTAAACGGCCTCGTACCCTAGCGTTTTTTTGGCGAATCCTAGGAGAACTGCAGAAAGAACCCGAATGTGAGAAACGAACTTACCAAACCACCACCACATGAGCCTATCATTGCTGTGTAGGGACAGCATAATGTGTCTCAATGATGTCTCATTGACTAACTACAACTAACAGCGAGTGGAATTGTTCCGCTCATGTGGTGGTGGACTGGTAAGTTCGTTCATCAACATTCAGGCTCTTTCTGCAAATCTCCTGAAATTTCGCTAAGAGCGCTAGGGTGTCGAGGTGTTTGGCGGTGTAGAGGGTGTAACATCTGAACCTTGAGCTAGGCCTCTGGGGACGACGATCCGTCGCAACGTCAGGCCCATTTCAATAAAGTCTTCCACCTACCAACCTTTCGGGCAGAAGAAATTACAACCTGAAACCTCACAATAATGCCGTGGTTTTATGAAGAGGGACTGGGACAAGTTGTCCCGCCCCCTTCGGAATGAGGTGTTGAAGGCATTAGTATGACAGATATCCCAGGCTAGTCTTACCTCCGCACTGTCTTGCTCGTGCTCCGTGTTTCTCCAGCCAACTAGGTGATTGTGTCTAAGCCATCATAATGAATCCTACAATTCTAACGACTCTGCAGGCGACAGCTTCCATTACATGCTACTTGGCCGATACCACCGTCAGCGGGAAGGCAGAGACACTGGCGAAAAGGAGGCGTTATCGGAGCAGCATTGCGCTCAAGCGCCCTCCCCGTGCGCTCGAGCTCCCTCCCCGTGCAAGTTGCCACAAAAACGGTACAAGCTTCCCCAATGCGGACAGCACACTACCTTTCCCACGCTAGCTTCTGCATCCCCATAGATCATCGCGCACCTTGCGTGCGTGCGTGCTTTGTTACTGGATACCGCGGCCCAAAGAAGAGTGCCTTTCTTCTGCCTCTTTAGCAAATCTTCAAACGGGTCGTATTAGGAAACAATGAGTGGCTCCACGAACCTTTCAGTGTTTTCACCAATTGATGAGTGGGGTGTGAAGAAGCCAATTACGGTAACGATAGTTCTCCAGCTTCTCTCTTCTTGCAATCGGCATTTTAGATGTAAGTTCTCAACTTGTTTTGTGCCTTTCGAGGTTAGATAGGTGGAACTATTAATTCAATACGGCCTATTGAATTAATAGTTCCACCTATCAACCTCGAAAGGCACAAAACAAGTTGGTAACGATAGTGATGAACGCAGACGGGATGATCAGAGTGAAGAGGATAGTACGACGGATTGCGTTTAATGGCGAAAAAATACGATATGTCCGGATATGGGTTGGGACAGCAGTCGTAATCTGAAAGTATCAAATGAGGTAGGCAACGATTAGCAAATTATCACAATTTTCTTACTTTAAGTTGCTCCTGTATTTGAAATCGATGACTTTCCATTCCATATTGGGGAATATAATGATTCAAAGCTGCTAGATTGGTCCTGAAACGAACTGTTGCATATGCCTGACAATCCATTCATTGCATAGTCATGTTCGCTTCCTTCGGATTACCTATGGCTCAAAAGCAATTAGTATGCAAGTCTGTCATCCGTCTCGGATGATACAGGGAATTCTCTTCAGGGGTTTTATATTACAGGCGGGGCAGGTCATATTTACAGGATCCCCACAGGGGAAGGTCGTACCTGGTCGCCAGATGGGAGGGAGGGGTCGTATTGCTCTCAAAAAAGAGCCATCAATTGCCGTGTTTTTTTCGACTTTTTTCTTTTTCCCATTCCCCATGTAAGTGCTGGGGGCTATGCCGCTTCACGACGCTTATCTCCTCTGCCTCAAGCGACAACCACGCAAACTCTGGTCGTCTACGTTCTTCTGATGCTGTGCTCGTGAGAAAGGGGGGACACATTGTTACGAAGGATGTGTAGCGTTACTTCCGAGCCGCGGCGAAACACGCGTTGCAGACAGGCTGACCTACGCATCAGGACCTAATCCACTAACATCCTAATTCAAAAAAACAGTGCTACGCGCATGATGTTTATCTGTGTTTATTCAATTTGAGCATCGGACATCCAGACGGTGCATTACATTATGGAAAACTTATGCGGAATTGGCTCGCTCACATAATCATTGCTCCGCTCCTTCTGTTATAGAAGAGCTGTAAAAATTTGTGGCAAAATAACTACCTGAGACTGCGCCACAGGACCCTAATGGCAAGGGCTGGACCATGTCGCTAACATTCCATCCCTAGTAGAAGACATAGTAACGAAGCGCCGTTACTTACAAAAATGAGTTTGTATTCTTCGAAGTACAAGCTACACGCGTTTCGTTCTTCAACGAGTCGCCGCAGATATTCAACTTGCTAACTGCAAAGATCGACTTTAATTAATGAAGTCACAGAAATCTGTGTCGCAGGTTTGTTAGCCCGCGATCTTTATCGAACAAATGAGGAACAGATTGAAAGCTAGCAGTTTTCCAACTTCCAATCGGCTTATATTACGGATATGATACCCATGTTTAGCGGGTCAAACTACCCAGTTGACAAGTTTTCAACGAACTTGTTGATTTAGGGTATTTTTGCGCTGGCGCCTGTGGAGTGGCAGAGTGCTAGGAGGTTTGCGTGGGCGGATGTTGATATCATGTGTGGTAGGGCAGACTACCCCCTAGTATGTAGGCAACTTTCAGGCAATTCTGCGCACGAAGAAGAAAGTCGGTCTGAAACTGGCTTGATCTCGGGTGATTGCAGTAAAGGGTAAACACTGCCTAAAAGTCTTGAAGCTAAGCACAATTGCCGGCTTTTTACGAAAAAATGCAAAAATGTGAACTTGTCAAGGGACCGAACCCATGACCTCCCATATATGACGCAACTTACCTATCCACTGCACCATCGACAAATTGACACAGCATCCTTCAAACTTAAACTTGAAGCTGCTTAAGGAGGATTGCGACCAGTGCTATGCTAGCAACGACTTCCCCCCCCCCCCCTCCCTTCTACTTCTCTTTGAGGATATCGTTCAGCAAATTCTGAAACCAGATTTGAGTTCAGTGCCCCGAGACGCACACGGCAATATGCATCCCATCTTGAATGGCCATGGCGACCTGTTGACCTTTCCCTGGTCAGCACACTGACGCTCGTTACTGGCTAATGCACTCATTACGACCCCCCCCTCTCCTGGCGGCCAAATACGACCCCCCTGTTGGGGATTCCCCAACCAACGATGTGCCCTGGTGCCCAGGATACCGTTTAACGCGAGACGACCGTAGACGGTCCTCGTCTCGTGGCGTAAAACACCAGGCCTGATAAATGCGGCCAACTAAAGCGGCCTACAGCCTGCTCAGTTGTGTGCATTTACGAAGCCTGCTCAGTTGTGTGCATTTAGAAGCCGACCTATTTATTTCACGCGCAATTTTCGCAGGGGTGCTGTACTCTCGACCTGTTTTCCTAAAATTAGTAGTTTTATCACAATGTGCAGGCACTTCTAGCTTGGACGCGACTGTGTGACCAGTCGAATTGCCCACTGCTTACGATCTGGTTTATCCGTTTAACATACCTGGCAAGCATTTGCCATTCTCTTCGGATTCGCTTTACATGCTCCTGCACAAGCATTTCCTGTCGGATGGCCTGGACCCCTTCTAATACATCAATGACAATATTGTGTAGAACTGGGTCGTTTATTCTGCGCACCGTTTCTTCGTCCGCTTCACCGTTAATAAGAGGCACTTTGTTGATGGGCTGAAACGTCAACAGTTTAAATTCATGTCAGGTTCTTCGCGAAAGAAAGCTTTTCATTTATACCTTTGGCTCTGTCGTTTAAGCAGTTTGGTTTGGGAAAGTTATGAAACTTTTCGGCAAACGACTTCTTCAGCTCCGACAGTTTGTCCCTAAATGAAATTTTACAGTTTCAAAAAAGTTCACCAATTCAGACG